CCTGTAAGGAGTTATGCTGCCAACGCGGGCGCATCTATTTTCCGAAACGAAATTACTTGAAAAATATTTTCTGACGCTASAACAATAACTTCTTGAAGAGAAACAAGCGTATATAAAATTTAAGATCCATAGCTCACAAATTGGGGGACTAGTTTGCATCTCTAAATCGATTCAGCTGATCATTTCTATATATAGTACATTTCGCCGACGCTACCTTCTGKGTGTTGCAAACTTCGTGGCAAACTTAAAATACCCTGTTCAGTGCGAGCTTGCTCACTTCTCACAAATTGCTACAATTAGTGAAAGTGTCCCAGCTTCCAGAAATAATAGCAAAAACGTAAAATTCGACTAGAAGGACCATAAAGTAGAACTTTACTTAAAAATTTTATATATCACCAAATTCTTGGCCTATTTAATTTTTATTCACATAACTTAAAAATGAAATAACGAAAATTTTAATTTTTTGCAAAAAAAAAAAAAATTATTTATTTTTCTGCCGCCTTCAATACAATCGCCATTCTTTAATATGCATTTATGCCAGGGCCTCTTCCAATGATCGAAACAGTCCTTAAACTAAATTTTTGAAATAGCCTTTAGATATTTCTGTAATTTCTTCACTCTTCAAAGAAGACCTTTTAAGGTTCATTTTAATTATGGCAATAGAAAAAAGCCACATGGAGCAATGTCTGCTGAATATGGAGACTGAAGCAACTGCATTGTTATTGCCCGAAAATTCACCAAGAAGCAACGAAGTGTGTGTTTTTAACAAACGAAAATCGCGAAACACCTAAAAATACGTCTCAGCCTAGCAGTTGCTATTAAGCAATGAATACAGTTGAAAATTGTATCGTCATTCAGGTGCAGGTTTAGAATTATCGTTTTTTTTTAACACATCTCTTATAGCAGTCCATAAATGGAAGCCCGTTCCAAAAATACGAAAGTGAGTCCTCTTCCTTCTCAAAATAATAGCTTTCTCTAGTCCCATAAATCCCATACTAATTTTCCTTTGATTGTACTCTTACTATTTATAATTATGAATGAATGAGATATTTCCGACTATGAGTAAAATATCCTGTAGAAATTAGGCTTTAGGTAAAATGGATAATTAATTGGTATTTATAATTATATAAACAAGGGAAAAGGAAACCTTCACTGGCAATCGAATGTCAACATTTCTGATTAAATCTAACTAGACATA